CTACAAAAACATTAAATAAAAATCAGCAGACGAACAGAGGTAAGAAAATGTCACGATCATTAGTGTTAAAGTGGCATAAAAAATTAGTGATGGACAATACTTTGAGAAGCAGTAACCGTCATTGGCTGCGTAACGTTGAAGCACAAGTTGAACGTTAATATTATGACGTTGACGTCAATAACTTTTTGAAGTGCGCCGCTGTCGCCGACATGTGTTTATGTAAAATTAAATATTGTTGTAATGTTAGAAGCTACTCACATGAACTTTTCTGTGTTTATTTGTTATTAATTCTTCTAAGCAGTGTAAGAATTTCAAATTAATATCTCAAATATATTTTACGCAACAAAGAAAGTCCACGAATTTTTGGATAACCCCTCGTATAGTGAAAACTTTACTAATACATTGTACTACATGTATTTCTATATTTTTATACGTATAAAAATAGCTAGCCTTTTTTTCTAGATAAGAAAATTCTATGGTGGCTAATATGTACCATGTTGTGCATTTGCTCCCTTAGGCACCAAGCGAAAACTTAAAATACAACTAAGAAGTTTTTTTCTATTTTTGCCCGTCACTCATGGCATTTTGTCGTTTTTCCAGGTCTTCGTAAAAATAACGATATACATTTTTACAACAAAAATTTATATTTTATGGTTTGATACATCCCATTCATATTAGTATAGTGTCTAAAGGTTTGGTCCGAAGTGTTCAATGTATGGCCAAAAGTGTCCAAATATCTGGTTCGAAATTGCCAATAATCTGTTCCGAAGTGTCGCAAAATCTAGTTTGATACGTCTGGTAGGAAATATCCATTGTCTGGAATGTCCCATTACCAACTCAGCCATCATTAAATTTAGTCAACAAAATTTAGTCCACAAATTTATTCAAGAGTGCAAGTAAACACCTACTCTATTAGGAGTCTGTAGTGGGATTGACTCTGTCTGAGAACTGGATGTTGAAACCAGTGTCCCTCAATAACATTACATGTTACAAATAAGACATAACGAGAAATGATGCCTTATTAATAACTTATACCACACTAAATCATTGAAAATTGGGGTAAGTTTACCTAGTTATAAGCTTCTGGTCAATGAAACAAAGTTAGTAAAGCCACATAATGTTATACTATCAAGTAACTTACTACATCTAATTGACTGAAATAAGAAAACCCCATTGAATTATTTTGACAATGAAGGAAATTAAGTTAAATTTTCTATTGTGCACAAGTGTTCAGGCAAATACATTAAATCTTTAAAAAAATGGGATAATTTTACCTTATTTTAACATAATGAAACGAAGTTAGTAAGGCAACATATAATATTGAGTAACAATTACATCTGTTTGATTAATATGAAAAAAAAACAACACTAAATTTCATTGAAAAATAAAAAGGTATTGCAAATTTCCTATAACAGAGGTGTTCAGATCCACTATCAGCTGTCCCAGCACTTATAATACAATAGTTTATTTGGAGTAGAGGTCCTGGGACCATAACTGGCATGGTATATGGAATCACAAAAATTACTGTAAAACTGATTTATTCAATTCTTTATAGTAAAGTCCCAGCTCAGAACTGTTCATTATTGAGGGTCAGAAGATGTGCAAGCGGACTGATAGCTTATTCGGTACCCTGTCAGCTACGGTACAGTATTCCAGAGTCCCTGGCTCAAGTCCCAGTCAGGCTGCATATTTTTCTCACCCTTTGACATTTGACTCCCAACAGTAAGCAATAAAACAATGTGAAATTCGCCTTGAAGTTTCATACCATCACCTATTCCAAAGGGGACTGTGATGGATGGTATAAAACTCCAAGTCCTATTTCACATTGTTAACAGTACCCATTCAAAGACAAATTTCAATAAAGCAGGGGAATATGTAATGGTTCCGAACTGTTCACTACTTAGGGAGATGATGAGTAAGCAGCCTAATACAATATAGCTCAGTCGGTTGAGCGACATAATGGTATTCCGAGGGTCCCTGGTTCAGGTCCTGGTAAGGCAGCACCTTTTTTTTAAAACTTGTGACAGTAACAGAAAAGGAAGGTATTATAGAAATTTAATGTTGCTTAATAATAATATAGCATATTAATTAAGCAGCACACCTCCAGATTCATGTTAAATTTCATGAAAATTTTGATAATGTATATGACAGTAAGATATTGTGATGTGAACAAATAAAGTTATTTACATATTGCAATTGGCACTTACAATCCATGCACTTAAATAACCAAAAAGAGGTCAGAATGTGCAAAAAAGCCCTTACTGCGTTAGTAACGCAGTAGAAATATGGTGATAAAATACTGCAAATTAAATCAGTCTTAAATCGCAAATAACATGTTAACTTCAACAATGATCTTGATTGTTTTTACCTTTCTTAAATTTAGTGTTGGGTATCGGACTCTAAAATCACTATCGATAATCGGACCACCACAATCGATTGTCTGCCAATAGTATAATCGAGTTTCGCATTTATTATGGCCCTTTTTTCTTAAGGTACCAATCCTTGTATGTATTTTTTTATACAGTAATGACAACATTTTGAGAATAAATAAACTCTTGTCTCCAAGATTAAAGTAAGATGTACTCTTTGAATCCAAAACAAAAAAAAAAACACAAAAACCTAATACAACTTTGTGACAGGCAATTTTTGTATTATACAACTTTATCGATTTTTAAAAAGCACTATCGATTGTCGCCGATTTTGGGATGGTCCGATTAGTTATCGATTTTCAGAGACAATCGGGACAACACTACTTAAATTATTAGTACATTTTTCTCAATTTTCATTTTCTTGAAATATTTTGGCTCATCTGGAGGCGTGCTGCTTTAAAACATATTAAATGCATATAATGTCAATAAATTTCAATTTCAACTGCTATGAAATATATTTTCTGATGCGCCGCTCTTTTGGTAAATCCATATACTTTACAGTTTACACATGATTCACAAATTATTAGAGTCCCACACTCCTCCCCTCCTGGCACTTATGGAGGTGCATGAGGTTGACAGGTTTCTTCATTTTACTTATTTTTTTCTCACTTACAGTTTCGGGCCCAATATAAAAGTTTATTCTTTGTATTATATCCTTATTCATTAGACTTCATAAGGCTTGTGTGGACACATCTGTGACATCACTGATGTTATTGTAACCTAGTATATTGAGTAACACACTTATAAAATAAAGGTTCTAATTAATAAACCAGTGTTTATAATAATTAAAATAAATTAGCTTTATTTTATTTTTCACTCTTCTAATTGTTCTTATCTGTTGTATAAATAAAATTTTATAATCAATGTCTTTTTATGGTATTTAATTTTTTGATAACAAAAAAAATGAAAAAATATATACATGTAGATTTATAGCTGATAATTCTTTCAGAACTTGAATAAAATATCATATCAATAATTATTTTCCCAGGGGAATTTCATTGTATTTATCACCGAAAAATCTTCTTTTTAATACAATCATGAATATAATTGTTTGCACGAGTGTGTTATATTATACATATATGATATAATAACCCGTAATGCATGGTATTTATTTTATATAGCTATCAGATTTAAAAGAAAAGACCTAGAACCGTTTTAAGGCCGAAACATCCAGGAGGTGTAAAGTCCTGAAACATATAGATTTAGCCCGTCTTGAAAATATGTTTACAAAGCAAAGTATTTTTTCAGAAAGTGCATAAAGACGAACCTGTTAAATTACTTTTTAATATTAGAGCATGATTGCTTATAATTTCAAAAATCATTTGACTTGAGGCTGCACGACAAAAAAATAATGTTGTGCCAGGTTGAGCGCATTACAACTCTTATCATTTATGGAAGTGGCTAGATGTACGGGCCCGTACGGCTAGCCAAAAGTTCTAGCCGTACATGTACGTGAGCCTGGACAAACTGTATTGGCTAGCCGTACGGCACTTTTCAAAAAATATATGGAAGTCAAAATGCATATTCTATTTTGTGTCTTTAAACGACGATTTTAATCAAATCTCCGCATTTGTCATGGTTTGTTCACTTCAATAAAGATGCTCCGCAATTTTGCAAAAAAAAATGAATACGAGTAAGCGTTGTATAATCTAGCTTAATAAAATTAACGTCCTTAATGTTCATGCTTATGATTTGTATGAAAGATGAATTGTTAAATCTGTTAAGCACATGGATTGAATAAATAATGATCGGAGGGGAATAGATAAATACATGTAAATAAAAAAAAGAATATTAAAAAAAACAGTGAAAAAGAAAAATAATTTAATAATGCAAACTTTCCTTAATGATGGACGATGGACAAACTTCTATACTGACGGTAATTGACGCAATTATCAGAGCCCAACAACAATTATTTTCGGTGTTTTTTTTTGTTTTTTTTTCAATTTAAAAATTAAACTTAATGGAACAAAAAAAGGATTATCATCAAAATTTTGTAAACTATTTCAATTGATGTTATTTAACTGCAACCAAACGCTATTTTTTTCTCGACGTCTTGAGATGACGAAGTACATTCTTTACTGTCACCAACGCGTCAATTAATCTCTAAAAAGTAAACATTCTTGTCTAAAATTCTCGCTTTAAGTCATAATTAACATATGCACTTTCGCCTTCCATATATTTTTTAAAAGTGCCGTGCGGCTAGCCAATACAGTGTGTCCTGGCTAGTCGTTCGTGACTCACGTATGGCTAGAACTTTTGGCTAGCCGTACTGGCCCGTACGGCTAGCCACTTCCATCATTTATTCAAATCGCTTAACAATCTAGCAATATTGTTAAAAATTTATATGATAAGGATATTTAAACGTTTAGAAACTTTTTTCTATTTTGCGTGCATATATCGTTTAGCGTATATCGTTTAGCATGCATCTGCGTATTTCATTTCGTAAAGAGTGCCTCTACATTCGTTCGTATAGTGTGTAACGTGCATGTGTTTTTTCAAAGAGCATGTGTTTGCGTGTAAACGGAAACATACACCCTACTGTACTACTGTTAATATACTATATTGATTTACCTTTGGCTTTTAGCTTGGTTGTAAGCAATAAATTTCTTGCCCAAAGAAACCACCAGGCCTGTTTTCATGTGCTTTGAACACAGGCCAATTTAGTAATCTTGAGGTTGATTTGTGACTTTCTTATCTTCCAAACATAACCAGCATAGTAACCAGAAAGTAAATGTTAAATCTGATTTAGTCAAACTTAATGGCCTTCCAAACACTTGTAAATCGAAAACTCATCAACTTTCAAGAGGCAGAAAAATTATTCTGTGCTCAGACCGCCAAATTTGTTGTTGTTGTTGTTAATCTTCACCGCATATGTAGGCAAACCTCTGTGTAGTAAACAGAGTGTAACAATAATCCTCCATCGAATATCACTCAACCTTTGTACAGCTGCACTTAAATTCACAGTTACTCCTGCACAGTAGCTATATATCATATACAACCTATACACACCGATTCTGTAAAAATATACTTATGTTTACATTTTTTTTATTTACCTCCCCTTTTCCGGACAGACTAATTCCCGTACCTTCCTGGTCTTTGCTGCATTTATGCAGTTTATATAGATGAATAAGCAGAGTAGAGTGGGAAAGGGGAGGGAGTGTCAGAGTTTGAATATTGAAAAGGCTTAAGGAGAATGGTAATTCATGTACCAAAATTGGAAACCTGTGTACTGTACAAGACAGATTTAAAATATAATTTATTAAACCCTACATCAACAGACCATTAAGCTGGGTTTTTTCTTCCTTATTCACTCTACTACATATACCCCTTAGAAATATTCCTTATATCATTTTTATGTAGAACTAATAAAATAAACCCCTAATACAAAATATTCCTTATATATCTAGATCTATTTTATGTAGAACTAACTAACACATACTGGCAGATATCTTCGTTCAAGTTGTGTAAACAATACCTTCAGTAGTTTTCATTCATCAACTCATCTTTAGTGTTTTACACACATTTTAACAAAACATAGCTTCCAATTTTTATTTAATAAAAAACGGCATCGCGAAAATAAGTGACAAATAAAAATTTACCTATTCCCTGCGGTAACATTCACAATTCTTGTTGTTTTTTATTTCAATTTTATTAGATTTAATATATTTTTCTTATTTAAAGAATTTTTAATCAGTCCTTTCAACAGGCATGATAAAACGAAATGGTTTGGGTACGAGTTGATTTCTGTACATGTACTATGATCAATTGAGGCTGTCTAAACTTTAGGACTAAACAGTATAGAAAAACAAATAGTACAACTGTAAAGCCTATTAAGCTGCAATGAATTATTATAAGTAATAAAGCATCAAAATTTAGATTCTTTTACCTTTTTCTGCCTCCGCATTCCTGTACTGTACCACGCAGTAAAAATGTCCGATTCCAAATTTCCTTTAAATGACTTCCGGTAAGTAAGCAGATAACCTTTACAAATTTTACCTGTTTATAAATTCATAGTGGATTTTAAATCTTTCTTAAAGTGTCTACATCTACTAATTAACAGCTTAAATAATATTTCCCATTTTTTGGCATTAATTTCAACCAATAGAAATGCTGTATTCCAGTTTTGTCAAATCTGACCAGCAATTGAGGACGCAATAATTCGCCGAGTGGGAAGTTCAAAAATGGCTACTTTTTTAGGTCGACACACAGCCCCGACACACCCATCATATGAGACCTCCAACCGAGGACACAACTTGATTACCATTTTTTTACATGTTTTAGCAAAAAATAAGCATTTTTAGAGTATAAAATATTTTTGTCAATTGAGGATGGGCTCAATTGTCGGTCATGTCCTCACTCGTTGCTGTTATTCCTGACAAATGTCCTCAGTTGCTGGTCCTTACAAGAGCACACACACACACACACACACACACACACACACACACAAACAAAACAAACAAACACAGGTGAATTGCTATATGCCACCGCATTGCAGTTGCTTCGGTGGCATAAAAAAGAAGTTGTGCTCTGTTTTTCACATATGTATAACTAAAATTATCCAATTTGGGATACATTGTAAAATCAAATCACTTGTTATCACCTATATAACCTTGTGTGAGTAAATGTTACTATATATGGTTATATATACACCAATCCTTCCTACAGGCATTTATCAAAACCATATTCTGCAAGATACATGTATTAACCCATTTTACTTCATATTTGCAAATAAATGTAAGATCTAACATGAAGAATTACAAGTCTAATTTGCATAAACCAAATTGGAATTCTTTTAATTTTGGCTGACAAAGAGGAATTTTGAACAGTAAAATGTAGTTAAGTAGTGCAACAGTAATTCTAAATTTTTCAATAGCAACTCAGGAGCTTTATTTGTCATAATTTAGTACATATAAAAGGTTATGAACTTTGTTGACAATATAATTTTGACAAATGCCTCAAGGAGTTCATGCATTATATGGTATTTGGGGTGACATCAGATCAACACTGTAAACATACAAGAAATGGGGAAAGGCGACCACATGCACCAAGCTTATTTTCAAGGTTCATCAAGGCTGCGGTACCCTCCGTTGTGCCGAAATATTCTATAATCCATGGTATACCATAACGTTTTTCAAACTGTTTCCATATGTCCGTCCTCAGACCACTTCCTATTGCTAGACGGATTTTATGTGTTTTATCTAAAGGACTCTGTGAAATAAATTTAAGGATCAATAAAACACGCAAATGTAAAATATGAGAGAGAATTCATGAGTAAATGAATGCATTTGGTAGATTGTTCAGTTGTGTTTAATGCATGTTTTAAAGGTATTTAAGTCATTTACTAGCATGAATGGTCATTTACCAATACAATAACCAATACAAAGATGGTATTTTTGCAAGCTGTTAAGGTATTTTTGTCGAGTTTCTTTTTTCCACCAACAATAATTTTACACAGCAGTGGAGGACATATAAATGACATTAACCCTATGTATTGTTGACATCAACAGAAACATCATTTAAAAGTTATGGCCAAATTTGAAAACAAGCAAATCTGAATTATGTGTACACCTTATTCTCTCCAAACCAAGCTAACTGTGTTGGCTTTTTAGTAAATTGGAGCTAAAACTTAACAAAATATACAAGTATAGAATAACAATAAAAATAATTGTAGATGACACATTGCATAACCAGAACAAGAAAGTAATTTCACATCAACACTTGTCATTTTGTTAAATGTAAACAATAAACCATTCATAATTATATAAAATGCAGTATTATCTACAAGAGTGATTGCATAAACATTTTAGTAACTTTAATTACACTGATAATTTTTTAGTCTTTCTCATGGCCACTATATAGAAGTAGATGAGTATTGGAGTCCACTGTGTACTTGTAAATTTTAAATTATCAGGATGCCTCAATGTATGTAAAACTAATACAATGTCATTGCCTGCAGTGGGGCTTATCCAAAATTTATTCCCAAACTTTTATTTTGAACTCAATCTAATTACTAAAACTATTCTCAAGACCTTTCAAAGCCAAGCATAATTTCCCGGGAATGCTTTTAAGAGAGAGTATTTTCCATGTGTCTAATCATAAATGGCATCTCAAAAATTATGATATGTCTTGCAGAGAACTATCCCATTATACAAGACTTGAATTTCAGATCAATGGTCAGTAACTTTGATGAATCATAAGTGAAATGTTCCAGGATCTTGTGGTTGTATATCTTAAAATATTCATTGAAAATGTGGTAAATGAAGAAAACAAGATTTTTGTTATTTGCTGCATTATTGAATTTACAATTTGCATATGTATTTCTACAAATTTTCACCTTGGCACAGTTATAACATTTATGTTCACCTTTTATTCACCAAAAAAGAATGATACCAAGGCCAATATCTTTCTATTAGGCACCTTTGATTTTTCACAACTATGCAGAGATGCATTTTCTAATCTACAGTGACATGTTAATTCAAGAAAGGTCGGAGAAACCTTTGAAACTTAGTCTATCACAGTCATTATTCAGAGGGCATTCCAAAAAGCCAAGTCTGTGATTATACCTTGGACAAAATCAAAGCTATGAAACATGTTTTTTACCTCCTGTGCATCTGTTGCATGAATGTTGAAAATTAATTAACTTTTATGTCATCAATGAGTTTTATCACAACAAGACCGTAACAATAAAGTAACCTTAGGAAAATGTTCAGTTAAACATGTTTTCTACATGTGCAAGTAACCTAAGATAGAAACAAATAAAAGTGGGGGATTCTGCAAAATTTTTAGGGGAGACAATTTTCCCCGCATAAAAGTCAGCCTTTGACATCAAAAAATAGACATTTCAAATTTCAAGTAATTTGGGGCCGCGCATGACAAAACCAAAAATATTTCATTTGCGACCAAAATAGATCCCGGGCCAAACCTGCTTTAAAAGCACAGTTTTGATCAGAAAACCATCCCGTTCGCTATCCCCTTTTTTCTAACCTTTTTTAAAAAAGGGGGTTTTTAAGGGAACAGCATGGTCCCATCAGACTGCTGGATTTTTTTGGGCTTTGGGATGATTCCCGGGCCCTTTAAAATTTTCATAAACCAAAATATTGAAACCCAAAAGGGCCCTGATGGCCCTGGAAGGGGCGCCCCCACCCGTATATAAAGGGCCCCCCCCCCCCCGGGGCCCAATTTTTTACCCCAAGGGGTTTATTTGAACAACTTGGAAAACCCATAAGAAGATGTTTCATGCTAAACATCTAAGTTCTAGCTCATTGGGTTTTTTAAAAGAAGATTTTTTAAAGTTTTTACTATACACATATAGTTAAAAAAAAATGACACCCCTGGGGCAGGGCCAGTTTTGACCCCCTGGCTTTTATTTGAACAAACTTTGTAGATATTTACTTAAAGATGTTTCATGCTTAATATCTAAACTCTAGTTATTTGGGTTTTTTCAAAGAAGATTTTTAAGTTTTTGCTATACACATATAAGGAAAATCAAATGACCCCCCCCCCGGGCGGGGGCCAGTTTTGACCCCAGGGCTTTTTATTTGAACATACTTGGTAGACACCCATTAGAAACATGTTTCATGCAAAATATCTTAGCTCTAGCTTATTGAGTTCTTTAAAAGAAGTTTTTTAAGTTTTTACTATATGCATATAGGGAAAATCAATGACCCCCTGGGGCGGGGCCAATTTTGACCCCAGGGCTTTTATTTGAACAAACTTGGTAGACACTCATTAGAAGATGTTTCATGCTAAATATCTTAGCTCTAGCTCTTTGAGGTTCTTTAAAAAGAAGATCTTTTTTTAAGTTTTTACTATATGCATATAGGGAAAATCTATGACCCCCTGGGGCTGGGTCAATTTGACCCCAGGGGCTTTTATTTGAAACAAACTTGGTAGACATTCACTAGAAGATGTTTCATGCTTAATATCTAAGCTCTAGCTCTTACGGTTCTTTAAAAGAAGATTTTTTAAGTTTTTTACTATATGCATATAGGGAAAATCAATG